GTGGTTTGAGTTTCTCTGAACAGAGGTATCCTGGCAGGGTTCTTGAAATTGAAACAGTAACAAGGTTGGCTGGCCTAGGATGGCCCATGCAGAGGTGCCCTGGCCTAGATGGCTGGAGATGAGGCTGGGCACAGTGTGTGTGTGGGGGTGTCCCAGGGCGTTCTGTGCAGTGGGTTCCTTGGCAGCGTGGTTGGAGCAGAGGTGGGTATAGGCCAGGGATTCCTGGGGTACTTTGCACAGGGGGTGTCCTGGCATGTTTCTCCTTTTTTAAAAGTCCTATTTCTTATTCCCATTTCCAGCTTACCTTTCTTCACTTGGGGCTTTTCTGGATTGGGATGGGAATGAGATTGGATTTCTTTGTCCCATGTACTTTCCTACAACATTTTAGGTTGTGGTTAGTGTCTAGAAACTTAACTAGAAATGAAAGTTTTTGGTTAAAGATAACGTAGGTTGTATGCAAACATTGATTCCACTAAAAGAATAAAGCTTAAAAAAATTTTAAATATATAAAGCCACAAGGAAAGGAAGAATGGGTGAAACTATGAGCAACAAAATTTGGTGACTAAAAGGGAATGTTGTATATGACTTAGCAGATCTAATAGACCCAAATGAGAGACTAGTATAATAGTGTTAATCTACTCTAGAATAAGAGAATATTGAAATATGGCAGAAGTGAATTTATATATCCTGTAAACGTACTGAAAACCCTCAGCCTTCTTCCCCTGCTCAGCTAGTAGAACATGACAGAGCTTGGCCTTTACCCTCCAGGTCCAAGATTGGAAGAATCTTTAGGTAATCTGACTAACACATGAGGATAGATCTAAAGATACTGACATTGGTGGTTCCTCAGTTAAATGGCTCAGCCTGATTACTCACTTTAAATGGTGCCTCATAGTTTGACAACCTTTCTAAATAGCTTTGTGGTCTGTCACTTAAATGTGAAAATCTGAATAGGTCTCAAGATGAAAACTAGAGCTTAAAAGTAAAAGAAAAAAAAGAATTGGGAAGAATTGACTTAGGCAGGTAAACGTTAAAAAAAAATTGATTTCCTTAGAGAGGTAGAGTTTTGTGATCATGAAAAACAGGATAGTCTATAAAAGCATAATTGAAACAATTAAACATAGCATTTGAAAATTAAAAATATGAATGCAAAACCAAAAATCTTAATAGATGGTTTGCAAAATAAAGTTGAGAATGTTTCTCAGAAGGTGGGGGTGGGGGGAAGGAACTAGAGGTAGGAAATACCAGAGGAGAGTAAAGAATTAGAAGGATCAGTCTATGGCACTGAGGGATGTGAGTTTCTAAATAGGCAAGGTCCACTGAATGGCCAGTGTGGTAGATAAAAAATAGACAACTGGGAAATTTCAGAACACTGGGGACAGAAGGAAGAACCTGGAATCTTCGAGGCCAAAAAAAATATGCCAGACAAAGGAATCTGAATGGTTTCAGTCAATATCAAAATTGGAAGCTGGCAAGAGACAGCATTCGCTTCAAAACTATGAAGGAAAATGATTTTCAACCTATAATTCTTTATCTAGCCTAGTTGTCAAATATGAAGATAAAGGTATTTTGAGATACAGAGTGTCTCAGTATTTATCTCCCTTGCATCTTTCCACCAGAAGATTTGGGAGAATATACTTCAACAAAAAGAGGAAAGAAGATTGAGGAGAAAGACAGGATACAAGAAACAGGAAATCTAATGAGATAGAGGCATAGGGAGCCATGGGATGCCAGTGAAAGGACAACATAGGATGACAGATGTGTATGATTGTTGTAGACAGTCATAGATGACAACCAGCTCAGATTGGAACAGATAAGAAGTCTCAAAGATATTCTTCAAGATGAAACTATGTGTTTGAATTAACATCTGAGAAAAAAAATTTAGGAAACTATTGGAAGATTGAATTAGTGACAGGTGTAATAGAGAACACAAAGCAAATGCAGTGATACGACATTTATTAATTATGGTAAGAATGAAGGATTGTGCAGGAAAGGAAAAGTAAGCCTAGCTTACTATGTGGCTTAGTTGTGAATTGCATTTACAGAGTCATAGTAATGGAAAGACTGAGTGCTGATCTAACTCTGTGGTTATCAGTGGGGGTGATTTTTGCTCCCCTCAGGGAACATTTGGTAGTATTAGGAGATCTTTTTGGTTGTTTCACCTTGGGTGGGGAGGGCTGTTGACATCTAATGGGTAGAGGCTAGGGTTGCTGCTGACCATCATCCAGTGCACAGGAAAGCTCCTCCCAGTGTAGATTTACCTGCTTCAGAATATTAGTAGTGCTGAAGTTGACAACCTAACCAAAACTGATAGAATTTTGTTGAGTGGGTGGAGAGATCAGAAGGGGTTGTAGAATGGGAGTGGGAATACAGTTAATTCCATAATGGAAATAATGCCCCAAACTGAGAAAATAAAAACCAGAGTTTGTTTTAGAGATGTGTTAAGTAAGATAAAATCAGATAAAAGGTTAGTTTCTTGCATTGCTATTTGTTCTGTTTTACCTTCCAGTGGCTATTCTGAGACTTAGCAGTGGTCTGTGTCAGAGTTCAGTTCACAAAGTTGGTGGTATGCTGTTTGTTGTCTGATCCAAGCTTGTGTAGCTTGGGGTTGAGCCTCGTTCATAAACAATTTCCCAGGACCATTTTCCTGAGCTGCTTCTCTTTTGCTCTCTCCCTATTACTTATTGGCTCTTTGGGTCTATCCTTTTGGCTTCTGTAGCCAGAAAGCCACTCTGGTGTCACACTTCATGTGTTTCTGCTTATATCTGAGACTGAGCAGCTGGATGTTAGAAGAATAAAAGCTGTGGAGATTGGCCCTACTCTCTTGGAACCACACAGTTCTTAGGATTCGAGAGTAAGTTTCCTGTCCCTTAGAGTTTTAGCCTCTGTGGGTCTCTGTTAAAGCCACTCTTGGAGCCACCTCTAACCATGATGGCATTGCTTGGGGGCTGGGGCATGGGAGAAAGGAGAAAAGAAAGGAAGAATTTTCCTATCTCCAAGTGTTAGGAGATCTGCTTAGACTCCTCTCTCCATCCTTGAGGCAGAATTAGAAGGCTTCTAGGGCTGTCTCTGTTCGTGTTGGTGCTCACCTCCAAACCCCAGTCCGCCCAGGTGACACTGGAAGGTGGAAAAATGGTAAATTCACTTGGAATACTGTCTTCCCCAGTCTTCCTGCTACTATTTACTTTTCATAGTCCTCCAATAGCTGCTCTGTGCATTTTGTTAAGGTTTTAATAGCTGCATTTTATTGGAGGGACAGAGTGGATGTTACGTGTTTCATTTAACCAGAATAGGAACCTATGTAAGCATTTAAACATTACATTACAACTATCAATAGGTCACTTTCAAAGTATTGTTAAACAATTTGCTAGACTATGGGAATAAAAATATACAAGGATAGAATACATTATCTCAGTGAACTAATTCGGAGGAGTTTGTGGACAATAATAGTAAAAGCCACATAATTGTAAAGGAGGGGGAGTCTGAGTGTATGTAAATTTGTTCAGAGCCTGGTGTGTCTACATAAGAGAGTAGTGTTAGTAAGTCATGAAAGACAAATCAGGAGTTTGCTAGATGGACAAGGAAAAGGAAGTAGATATAGCATGTGGATGATAGTTTAGGACATTTCCAAGAATTTGGTATCGCTGGGTATAAAGAACTTATAGAGTAACCTAAGAGGTTATGCAGGTGAGCAAGGACTGGATCTCAAATGCCATGTAGAAGAGTTTTGATTTTTGTATTAGCTAATGCCATCAGAGTTGCATGTTACACATTTTCTTCTTAGTATATGTGCTCTTTAAGTTCCCTTTTCCTCAAAGTTTTTCTGTATTGAAATGTAGGTTATTGTACCTACATTTGTCTTAACCATTTACATATTCATTCCTCTGTGGGAATGTTACATTATTTTTATTTTTTATTTTTATTTTATTTTTTTTAAAGATTTTTAAATTTATTCATTTGACAGAGATCACAAGTAGTCAGAGAGACAGGCAGAGAGAGAGGAGGAAGCAGGCTCCCTGCCGAGCAGAGAGCCCGATTGGGGCTCGATCCCAGCACCCTGGGATCATGACCTGAGCCGAAGGCAGAGGCTTTAACCCACTGAGCCACCCAGGCGCCCCTACATTATTTTTATAATTTAAAAACATGGTTTTGAGGTTGATTTGAAACTCAGAGACCATCAAGAGTATTTGCTAGTGAATAGTGTGAGTGATCAAGCTGGGTGATATTAATTTTTAATTTTTTAAAATAACTCAAAAACCAATGGTTTTTTTTTTTTTTTTTTTTTTTAAATGTAGTTCAGTCTTGTCTCTCGAGGTCATTACCAAACAAGGCTATGTAGTGGAAGAAGCAGTTGGTGATTGCTTAATGAGTGCTGTAAATCCCTAAGTTCACTTAGTTTTTAAAATTCTGACTTGTTGCACAAAGAGGGGTTCATTATCTTCATCACATACAAATAATAAAGTGTATTTTACATATGTATGTAGTATATATACTATATATATAGAATATTTCCAGCTCCCTTCAAATGTACTTGGAAAAGACAATTTAGGATTTTAAAAAGTGAGTATACTTTATTTTGAACTCAGATTCTGCAGATGAGGTTATCTGTTCTATTAATGAACAGAGTTGATTTCTTTAATGTCTCTTTATTATACTTTAAATGTGGAGATTAAGCATCTAACATCTTTCTTTGAATGAATGAATATATTTGTGTATATTCTTAGGAGGGCTCTTAAAAAAATTCTATTATGAGTGAGATACCTGTGATAAACTTTTTTTTCCAGACTCCTCTACCCTTTGCAGCATTGGTGCCATAGTGGTGAGCAGAGCTGCCTTCCAGACTCCTCTTACTAGAGTAATTTCCCCCAAATTTTGCTTCTTTGATCAGCACTGCTCTTGGTTCCTTTTTTATGTTGGTGGGTCAGGGGTGAAGCAGTTAAGTAGGTTACAATCATTAAAGTCTGTAAATGTAATTTTAATATGTTTTTTGTTTTTGACAGCCGATTTATTTTGCATATTCCCAGCGAGGAAAGAGACAATGCTATCCGAGTGTGTTTTCAGATTGAGCTTGCCCATTGGTTTTACTTGGATTTCTACATGCAGAACACACCAGGATTACCTCAGTGTGGGATAAGAGACTTTGCTAAAGCTGATATCCTTTTATTATTATGATTGTCTTTCATTATTGCTAAGAAAATATTTCAGCACAGATTTCTTTTGATCGCCTTTGAGATTTATGAGTTATTAGGTAAACATCCTTTATTTCTAAAAACTGTCAAATATGAATAGTAGGCAGAATTTAATACTATTTTTATTTTTATGTAGAGGACCCCTTGAAATGTGCACTGATGATGAGAATTAAATTTGATTTTTCTCTTTCAGAAATAAATAGCCTATTTCTAGAACTGACCTGTTATTTTTACTTTATTCTTGCTGTTCCATTTAATCAGATGATCTTTAATTCACTACCTTTCTGGGACAGAAATTCTTAAGTAATTATTGAATACTTAATATGTTAAAAGCAGTGTTTTTAGTTTTGTGGCAAGTACAAAGAAGTCTTTGCTTTTGAAGTTTCTTACAAATAAGATAGAAACTTATCAGTTTCTCAGTTATCAAAGATACACTTGGAAATTTAAGATTATTATTGTAATTATTTTTAAAGATTTATTTATTAACGTGTGTGAGAGCGGGGAGGGGCAAAGGAAGGGGGAGAAAATCTTAAGCAGACTCCCCGCTGAGTGCAGAGCCTGATGCAGGGCTCGACTCTGGTTGGATCCCATGACCCAAGCTGAAACCGAGAGTTAGATGCTCGACTGACTGAGCCACCCAGGTGCCTCACAAACTAAAGATTATAAGAGAAGCTATGTCACAAGGCCAAAAAAAAAAAAAAAAAAAAATTGATGAATTACTTATGGTTCTAATAGTAAATGTTTTTAGAATTTAGAGGTTTTTTTTTTGTTTTGTTTTTTGGTTTTTTTTTTTTTGTTTTGGGCAAAGCTATGTTTGTAAGGGAATATAGGATTTTATAAAGAGAGGAGTGGGGAGTATGTTCCGTGTAAAGAAAAGGATTGAGCAAAATTAGAGAGTTGGAAAATACAAGGGATATCTCAGGAAATAAATTAGTTTGTATTGAGGAGATAGTTCTTATGGGGACACATTAGGAACAGATGGCCGGTATATAGGGAATATGTGTGGGTTCTTAAACCTTGAGCCAAACTGATTTTTATCCTGTAGGTCATTGTTTTTAACTATAAATCATGTATTCAAATGGAATTATACTCACAAATTCACTAAACTGTGCTAGAATTGGAATAAGAATGAAAATAACCCTTGTACTCAGCTCCCTATAATTTTCCCTGAGCTCCATGAAGTAAAGACCACCCCCCGACCTCAACTAGGTCACTGTAGAAAATGGACGTAACACTGATTGTTGTAAATATGTTAGCCATAAAACATTTTTGAGCAAGGCTAAGGAATATTATGCAAATCATTTGAAAATGGTATTCAAGAAGACTTACTTGGCGGGATAGGTTAAACCATAGGATGGGCTGTCAAATTACTTGACATTGTAGCAATAAGGTCCTAAGCCATAGCAGAGGGAAAGACTGAAGAAACATTTCAGTGGCAGAAATGATCAAGCTGATTAACTATGAAGAAGTAAAAGAGGAGGGTGCTGTGGTGGCTCAGTTGGTTAAGCGACTGCCTTCAGCTCAGGTCATGATCCTAGAGTCCTGGGATCTAGTCCCGCATCGGGCTCCCTCCTCAGCCGGGAATCTGCTTCACCCTCTGACCCTCTCCCCTCTCATGCTCTTTCTCTCTCTCTCTCAAGTAAATAAATAAAATCTTAAAAAAGTAAAAGAGGAGTCAGAGGGGGATATAAGTTCTATTGAACAATATCTTTGTTAAAGCCTTGGTCATAGATTTCCGTGGAGAAATCATGAAGGATTTGGCTTTTTAAGAAGCTATAATCTAGGTATAGAACTGTTAGGAGTTATCTCTGTTCCTGGTGTATTTTTATGTTTTCTTTTGGTAAAGCTTTTAATGGAAGAAATAAACATTTAATTAAAATTTATGCATAGATTGAAAAAAGCCTGTGATAACTTTAAAACACATAAGGGGTTTTCCTAAACATTTAAAGCCAGACTGTTAGTGGGAAATACCTTTCCAGAATGTTAGCAAGCCTGTCTAGAATTGTAGGGCTTCATGGAATGGTGGATGTTGTATCCATACTTTATTCTTTTTTCTCCCTTTCCCCAATTGAAGGCATTGTATTGAGATTATATTAATTATGTTGAGGTTAACCTAGTGCCTGTCTAATTACAATGTTGTCATAGATGGTTGATTTTTTTGGGCTCTTTGATGGCCTCTGTAATTTTTACTTCAACTATAAAACCAAAGTAAAAATTTAAATATAAAGCTTATAGAACTTAAAATATGTTTCCATAAAATGAATTTATGTGATTTTTTAAAACCAACTAGCTGCCAGGCACAACATGAATATAATGCTTCTTTGAGGGTATTTTGATATGCCTGTACTACCCATTTTTGCATATCTTTCTTTTCTACATCTGTTAAGAAATGGGTTTTTGTTTTTTTTTTTTGTGCTGGGATATTGTTTGATCCTAATGCATCATTCGTGTATTAACTTTCTTACATTTTTGGTAGCCCACAGAGGTTAGAGTAGTACTAGTATCAGTATGGTCTCTGAAATCAAGTTGTAATACTTGATATATGTCATCATCCAAATGATTGAAAATATGCTCATAGTACATGTTTTTAGGTTAACATCAAAATAAAAACACAGAATATATGTTTTTATAGAGGACTTGAGGAACCTTAAGCATATGTCCTTGGTTTGAGAAACACTCAAAAATTATAATTTTTCCCACCTTTTTCATAATTAACAGTGTTGTAGTGATGAGACATTTGATGACATGGAGAATTGGAAGGCTGAGCATATACTTTACAGGTTTAGGCTTTATTTACTTTAAAAAAGTAAGTTTTTACACTGTCCAGTATGGGGGGACCATGCCCAATTTCTTTTGAAAGAGGCTATTCTTCCTTAATACCCAGAGTTAATATTTCTTTATGATTGTTGTTGTTGTTTGTTTGTTTTTGTTTTTTTAAGATTTTCTTTATACTTGTTTAGGAGAAAACAAATGGGGAAAAAAAAATAAGGGGAAACTTAGGTGAAGATTTGAGTAATCTCATATAAAATTCATAGTTGATTTAAATAGGTTTCTATCTGTATATAAGCACTCAAGCTATATTTAGAGAGAGGAGCTTCCTTAACACTATGTATACTCTTCAGTCATTGTCCATTTTTGCTGCCTCAAGGTGAAGATGTGGAAAAAGTTTTGGATGAATGGAAGGAATATAAAATGGGAGTACCAACCTATGGTGCAATTATTCTTGATGAGACACTTGAAAATGTGAGTGTAATAAAAGATTTTAGTGCAGTGATCAGCTGTTTTCATCTTATTAGTAAAATATATGTGTTATTTTGTTCTAAACAGGTTTTAAAATGGACTTTTAGTGCTAAAAGGCCAAATTTTGCATATTTTGTCTGCATTCTGGGTCTTAACTATTTTCTACTTGTAGTATGACTTACTGCAAAAAAAAGTCATTTAATTGTTGGAGAAATACTTTAAAATGGTCAGAATGCCTGCCTTCACACTAGTAGTGGTATAGTCAGACTCTTAGAAGATGTTAAAATCAAGTATTGTATAAATTATTGGTTATGACAGTTACTTGAAGTAAGGAGAAAGCAAGTTTTATATTTACCTCTGCTTGTTTTTATAGGTACTACTGGTTCAGGGGTATCTAGCAAAATCAGGCTGGGGATTTCCAAAAGGAAAAGTAAATAAAGAAGAAGCTCCTCATGATTGTGCTGCTAGAGAGGTGAGTTCCTGTAGTTTGAAACCTAGTAATATTTGGTGATTATGCTTTGAGTGTGCTTTTTAGCCATGGAGATTTATTGTTTGAATCATCAAATCCTCTTTCTAGAACTTGACTGCATGAAGTAACTTCTCTTTTATAAAGATGGTTTTGCCCATATCTCTTCTATTATTCTTCCCTTAATTTGTTTCCATTTTCTTTCTTTTTTTTTGCGGGGCTTGATCCCAAAACCCTGAGATCGTGACCTGAGCTGAACGCAGAGGCTTAACCCACTGAGCCACCCAGGCACCCCTCCATTTTCTTTTTTGCCCATTTTTAATTGTTATCTCCAACTCCTTTCTATTTTGATGATATATTCTCTACCCTTTTTTAAGAGTTGGATTTGTAATTGGTAAAACCTTTTGGCAATTACAGTCCTTGTTTTACGTTTATAGTCTTGGCTTCAAGACACAATTTTGGCTTTTCTAAGAAATTTACATTTGTTGCTCAGAACCCTCTCTAGCTTCCTGTTGTCTGTAAGATGAAATTTAATTCTTTTAAGTATTGAAACTCCCTCCCTCCCTTATCCCCAACACAAAATTTAGCTATTCCTAAATTTGTCTTTGTTCTCGGTCAGAAGAATTTATTCTCTGTCTCTGAATTTGACTGCTTTGTTTCAGTTCTAAACTTTGCTTATATTATTTCCCTCACTGGAAGTTTCTCTCTTTTTCCTGCCTATTCAAATCCTATCTAGACCCAGCTCAAAAGATCTTTTTTGCCTGAAGGATTGCCACCAAGTAGCTCTGTATCCAGTATCTGAGTTTATTTGTCAATGAGATTTAGAGTGAATAAATTTTTTTTAATTGAGATATAGTTTACACACAGTATTATATTAGTTTTGGGTGTACAATATAGGGATACAAGTCTAAACATTATGCTATACTTAGAAGTGTAGCTGTCATTTGTCGTCATACACTGTTATTAAAATACCATTGGCCATATTTCCTATACTCTACTTTTCATCCCTATGTCTTACTCACTCCATATTTGTAAGTCTGTACTACCCTCTCCTCTTCATCCATTTTGCCCATCCCCCAATCCTGTCTCCTGTGGAAACCATCAGTTCTCTATTTATGGGCCTGTTTCTGCTGTTTGTTTTTTAGATTCCACATATAAATGAAATCATAAGGTAATGTCTTTCTCTGTTTGACTTATTTCACCTAACATAATACCCTCTAGATCTATCCATGTTGTTGCAAATGGCAAGATCTCATTCTTTTTTATGGCTGGGTAATACTCCTGTGTATATGTGTGTGTACACACACCGTATCTTTATTCAGTCATCTGTCAGTCGATGCTGGGGTTGCTTTCATGTTTTGGCTGTTGTGAATAAGGCTGTAATAAACATAAGGGTGCGTATACTTTTTCAAATTAGCGTTTTTGTATTCTTTGGATGTATACCTAGTAGTGGAATTACTGGATCATGTGGTTATTATTATTTTTAATTTTTTGAGGAACCTGATACTGTTATGCACAGTGGTGGCACCAGTTTGCATTCCCACCAACAGATGCATGGGAGTTTCTTTTTCTCAGATCTTCACCAGCACTTGTTATTTCTTGTCTTTCTGATTCTAGTCATTCTGTAGAGTGGAAAATTTCTAAAGTTTATTGTTAATTAAAATTCCATGTATTTAAAAAATTAATTCATGAGCTCTACCCTATAATAGTTTTAGAACTTTTATAAGTTATTGTCTAGACATTTGTTTGGTGTTAATTATGTATTACTTGTGATACACTGTGGACTGTATTCTTTTTTTTTTTTTTTAATATTTTATTTATTTGACAAAGATCACAAGTAGGCAGAGAGGCAGTCAGAGAGAGAGGGGGAAGCAGGCTCCCTGCTAGGCAGAGAGCCTGATGCGGGGCTCGATCCCAGGACTCTGGGATCATGACCTGAGCTGAAAGCAGAGGCTTAACCCACTGAGCTGCCCAGACACCCTGTGGACTGTATTCTTATTTATCAGTTCCTTGGTCACTTATTGCACTACATCTTATCCTTGAAATTTGAGACCCTGAGCTATAAAGAAGCATGATATAATGGAAAGAAAACTAGCCTAGGAGTTGAAAGATTTTTTTCCTGTTAATAGTTCTTATATATGTTAGTAGCCTAGAGACTTAGGGTGAGCTACTTAATTTCTCTGTGAGATACACATTTATTAAGAAGAGTTACGTAAGGACTTAATAACTTGAGGTAAATCTAAGGTGTTAGTGATTGACTTTGAAATACTTTTGAGATGGCAATATAGATTTTGTGGCAAATCTCATTTTGATCTGTTGCCTTATTATTTTTTTTTAATTCAGTGTTTTGCTGCACCAGTGTTCACCACCTGGTTTAAGTTTGGATGTAATTATTAGTGAGCAATAATAATTAAGATTCTTATAAACTACTAGTAGTTACTTAACACAGAAAAACCATTAATGGTTTGCATTTTAAATTTAATATAGAACAGCTGATTGAAGTAAGTGTTTTCAACAGCTTATAGACAAAGTCATTGTATCCAGGTAAGTGAAGGTTTATACACACCTCCTAACATTAAAAGCTGTTTAGGTAGCAGGAGAGAAATTGACACATACTGTAAGAGCTTTCCTTTTCCTTTTTGTAGGTGGTAGGAGATGAACTGGAGCAGTGTAAAGTCTCCCTTTTATGTCCTCAAACTCTGATTCTCTTGCTCAAAAGGAAGGACAAGTGGAAATCATAGCATCCTACTTAGAGGAATTGATGTGTAGTTCTGTATGTAGAGTTAGGTTAATCCTATAGCAGTAGATAATTGTCTGGGTCCAGAAAAGACACTGCATTAACTAGAAAACAGTCTAAATTTGGACTAAATTTGGTGAGATCTGTCTTTTTAATTGGATCTTTTTGAGGGAACTTGGAGGAAATCAAGTATTTAAACTTGCATAACTGAAGAGAACTATCCCATGTCTAAGGAATTATCTACATCTAACACTAGAACCTTGCTTCTGACCAGTTTTATACACTATATTATAAAGAGTCAGGATGATGCAGAAATAAAGTATTGGGGGAGGGAATGGGGGGTGCAGAGGCAGTTAACCTGTGTGCTGAGGCACTAGTTTTCAGTTTAGTTTATCTTGTTTTCTGCTCTGGGATACTAAGGTAAAAGATTGTCCAATTCATGTGGTGCTAATTTCAGTAATGATTGTAGATCACCACAGTTTCTAAGAAAGTAAATGAAATCTGTTAGAGGCATGGGGAGTGGGAGAATGGAGTGTCAATGATAGGATGCTATAGAGAGTCTTGTGGGGAGGAATACAACCATTATGGGAGAGTTCAGTCATATACCAAGGTCTCACAGTGAACAGCAGAACAGGGATGCAAAACACTGGTGTTTGGTACTGGAGTCCATGTTCCTGACTACTACAATATAGGCAGTCAAGGAATATTTGTAAATGAGTATTTCTTAACACATAGATGAAAATGGAAGGAATTTGTGATTTTTAAGTATAAATATTTTCTAATAATATTTACCTTTCTGATTCGAATCACTTTTGTTTTTCTGTTTTAGAGTTTTTGTCTTGCTCTGAGGAAAGTGCAAGTATTCTTAGGAACTGTAGTCTCAATTTCAGGGAAAGATTTTTTCCCTTTTGATAATAACAATAATCCTTCTAACCTTTTTGATCTAAGAAACATCCTCTTTTTGCTGATAAAGGAACTTGTCAGAAAAAAACCTTTTCTTTAATTTTTGTAAATTTCGGGATTAGAAGTTGACTTTTATATCTGTTTTTTTTTTTTTTTTTAAGATTTTATTTATCTAGCAGACAGAGATCCCAAGTAGGCAGAGATGCAGGTAGAGAGAGAGAGGAGGAAGCAGGCTTCCCGCTGAGCAGAGAGCCCGATGTGGGGCTGGATCCCAGGACCCTGGGACTACAACCTGAGCCAAAGGCAGAGGCTTTAACCCACTGAGCCACCTAGGTGCCCCTACATCTGATTTTTTAAATGGTTGCCTCTGTTATATAAAGAGACAAAAATTTTAAGATTAAGGTTGCACATTGTATCATGGCCTGAGTGGCTTAAACAACAGAAATTTATCTCTCCCAATTCTAGAGGCTCCCAAGATAAAGTTGCCCGCTCATAAGGTTCCTGGTGAGGGCTCTCATCCCAGCTTGCACGTGGCTGCTTTCTCACTGTGCTTACATGGTCTTTTTTGGGTGCCTTTGTGAGTGCCTCTTCCTCTTCTTCTTTTTTTTTTTTTAATATTTTATTTATTTTTTTGATAGATCACAAGTAGGCAGAGAGGCAGGCAGAGAGAGGGGGGGGAAGCAGGCTCCCTGCTGAGCAGAGAGCCCGATGCGGGGCTCGATCCCAGGACCCTGAGACCATGACCTGAGCCAAAGGCAGAGGCTTATTTATAACCCACGGAGCCACCTGGGTGCCTGTGTTTCTTCCTCTTCTTATAAGGGCATCTGTCCTATTGGATTAGGCTCCCAACCTTATGACCTCATTTTACCTTTATCATCTCTTCACAGGCCCTCTCCCCAAACACAGTCGCATTGAGGGTTAGGCCTTCAACATGAATATTGGTGAGATGAAGTTTTAGTTCATAGCAGTTGCCGTTTTGAGTATCAAAGTGTTCACCTAGCGGTCCTAGACTTGTAGTGTGTCCTTCTGCCACTTGATGGTGCTGCAGTACTGTTCCGTGGTGGTAGTGGGAGGATGTACTACTGTCTGTAAGTTTTAGTTTAAAACCAGATTGGGATATTACCACAAACTCCTCCGAAAAATAACAATCTTTCTTTTCATTTTCCCTTGTGTTAAGCTATAAGGAGGAGTTCTGATTTTTTTTAGCTTCCATTAGCTAGGCTGATGCCTTAAATGCTTTTTCTTGGACTTTTAAGTTATGCAGTTCTGTCATGGGTGCTTACCCTTTTAAGTCGCTAATGATAAATTAATTTGGTTTATTTTAGTTATGTTACTGTTCTTATTCCATTATCTATGGCTGTCCAGG